TTATATTTTATAAAATTAAATGATAATAATTAATGTATAACAAATTAACTTTCATAATTTTTTAATTAATTATAAAGATCAATTAAATTAGGTAGATTTTTAGTTGATTAAAAATGTAATTATATATATTATTGTAGCATATGTAATTTTAAAAGGATAAATGCTAATTTTAATTCCTCAATTTTAAGATTTTACGTAATTTTTGTCCCTTATCTTTTTTTGCTCATTTTGGTCCCTCAATTATGAGTAATTTGCATTTTTAGTCCTTTTATCAATGTGCTAGAGAAACTTAATTGACAAAAGAACTAAAAATGTACATTATTTATAGTTGAAGAACCAATATGAGCAAAAAAAATTGAGGGATGAAAATTGTGTAAAATCATAAAGTTGATGGACCAAAATTGATATTTATGATTCTAGTGCTTATTATATAATATTAAGATATTATTGAATTTTTAAGGCATGTACCACTTAATTATGAGAGAAGATTGGAGTTGGATGTATCGTCGTCGAGATGAAATGGGGTATTGGAACAATGAATTTAATGCTGGGGTAGAGATTTTCTTAGATTTTGCATTCTCACAAACGGACTTGATGTTTTGTGCAAAGAATATGATTCGATGTCTGTGTAGTAAGTGTTGGAATAGAGAATCGCATCATCGACGCAAAGTGCAATCTCATCTTATTAAGAACGGCCTCATGGATGGGTATTTTATTTGGAAAAGATACGGAGAAATTATTCATAGAAAATGGCGTTGCACCCAAGTGGGTGAATCATCAAGTGCCGTCGCTGCTACTGCTATGAATAATGTTCCAAGTGTCGATCAACTCAGAGACATGCCTCATGATGCCATGGGACCAAACTTTTTTAATAATGAAAACAGTGCCATAGGGGTAGAAGATGCAACACAATTTCATGCTAGTTTTGATGATCCATATGGTGTCTGGGTCTCGAGTATAAAAAGTATGATGTTTGTGTCAACAATTGCATTTCTTATTATGGAGAATATGAAACTTAGTGTTATTTACAGTGCCCGGTATGTGAAGAGCCATGATTTAAACAGCGTGATGTGCATTCTACTAAGCCTATACCAAGAAAGTCTTTGTGGTATCTTCCAATTATTCCTAGACTTCAGAGATTGTATATGTCTAGGAAAATTGCCGAGTAGATGACCTGGCATTTAAATTGTTGTAATGAAAATGAGAAAATTTTTCATCTTGCATGTGGAGAGGCGTGGAAGCATTTTGATAGCACTCACCCTGAGTTTGCTAGTGAACCGAGGAATGTTAGGTTAGGTCTATGCACTGATGGGTTCACTCCTTTTGGACATTCTGCATCTCCATACTCTTGTTGGCCAATATTTGTGTCAATTTATAACCTGCCTCCAACAATGTGCATGAAGCAAGAATATGTATTCCTTTCATTGATTATCCAAGGTCCCCAAAGTCCTGGAAAGAATATTGATGTAATGCTTTGACCACTAATCAATAATTTAAAACAGCTTTGGTATTCTGGAGTCCAAACTTATGACAGCTTTAGGCGTCAATACTTTCTGATGAGGGCTGCACTTATGTGGACCATTAGTGACTTACTTGGGTATGGAATGTTGTTTGGGTGGAGCACACATGGTAAATTAGCTTGTCCCTATTGCATGGAAAATTCGAAGGCCTTTTGGTTGGAACACAGTCGGAAGACATCATTTTTTGATTGTCACCGACAATTTTTGCTATTGGATCATCCATTTAGAAGAAACAAGAATGACTTCATAAAGGGTCGTACAGAGAATAGAACAATGCCAGAGAGATTGTCTGGTGATGAGATGCATAGTCGCATCCATTGGCTACCTGATGAACTATTTGGTAAGCCACCTTAGAAACAGGAAATCCACGGATTTGGTGAAGTGCACAATTGGGTTAAAAAGAGCATCTTTTGGGAATTACCATATTGGCACACAAACTTGATTCGACACAATTTAGATGTCATGCACTGTGAGAAAAACTTTTTTGACAATATCCTTCATACAGTAATGGATGACCCTATGAAAAAAGATAACATAAATGCAAGACTTGATATGGAATTGTATTGTAAAAGGAAAAGTCTGCACATACCGAAAACAAGAGTGAATTCGGGTAAAAAGCCAAAGGCCACTTATGTTCTTAGTAGGGATCAAAGAAAATCAATATGTCAATAGTTGAAGGAACTTAAATTCCCTAATGGATTTGCCTCCAATATATCTCGGTGTGTCAATACACAAGAGGCACGATTATTCAGTATGAAAAGTCACGACTATCACGTTTTCATGCCAAGCCTTATACCAATTGCATTTCGTGATTTATTACTGAAACAAGTTTGGGAGCCACTTGTTGAGATTAGTGAGTTCTTTAGGGCCTTGTGTGCTCCGGTGATTCAGGTCAATGACATAGCAATATGGCAAGAGAGGATAGCAGAAATCATTTGTAAGCTAGAGCAAATCTTTCTACCTTCATTCTTTGATAGTATGGAGCATCTTGCAATCCACCTTCCATACGAGGCTTGTGTAGGAGGACCGGTGTAATTTTGAAGGATGTATCCATTTGAGAGGTAAATATAATTAACGTATAATATATGAAAATAAATATAACTCCATATATGCTATTTTGTTGCATTGAGGTTAAAATACCAATTTGGTACTTCAACTTTCAATTTTATATCAAAGCTACCATTGAACTTAAAAAAGAATTAAAAATGGTCCTTTCAAGAACCATTTTGAAACTTTTTAAAATTTTAAGGGTATATTTGATATAAACTTAAAAGTTGAGGTACTAAATTAGTATTTTAATCATAACATAATTATATAATAATTCTTGATGAATCAAGCGAATGCATTGTCTTAAGTTGACAGTGAAAAACAAAGCGCATCCTGAAGCATCCATATGTGAAAGTTACATATGTCTGAGATCACAAATTTTATCTCTCATTACTTTGATGATGGAGTACATAGTACAGTTGATAATCCCCCTAGGAATATTGTTGTTGGATTTGGTGATAATAGTGGCCTATCCATCTTTAAATGTGTTGGAAAACGTATTGGTTTCAAAATTGGAAGACGTTGCTTGATGGTAGAGAAACGCAAAGCTGCTTCATATTATGTGTTAATGAATTGTGAAGAATTGCGAGGATGGGTCAGGTAAAAAACCTACACTAAAATCTTTAATTTGTTATATTAAGATTTATTGAAATTAAAATACTAACAATATATAAAAAACTATTATCATATTTTCTAGTTTATTTGAGAGAGAACAATGTCAAAACATGAATCCTCAACAAATTCAAGCAAAACGAGAGAGACCTTGTGCCTTGTTTTGAACAAGTTGTGAGTATTTAATAATATGACTATTCAATTCCTTAACATATATATGTTATTTCTCTTCAAATGCATTTAACATTTTCTTTTGCAATCTATATATTTTAGGTAATTAGTGATGAGTTCATTAATGTCCATGAGCATATCAAAAGTTTATTCAGTGGTCCAAAAGATTATGTTGCTTGCTATAATGGATATATTGTCAATGGATTCCAATTTCACACTGCCCTCTATGGTAGAAATAAGTGAACAATGAATTATGGTGTCTGTGTTGTCGGATCTATTGGTACTGAATCATATTATGATTTTTATGGTGTGCTTTAAGAAATAATTCAAATTGAGTATTTTGGATTGATCCATCGACAGGCAATTGTTTTATTCAAATGTGATTGGTACGAGATTCCTCCTGCTCAAGGGATTCAAGTGGATCAAAAACATTGATTGGTTGACATTAATCCTAGAAGATACCTTCGATCTTAAGAGCCTTTCATTCTTGCTAGTCAGGCAAGGTAAGTTTATTACACACCATATCCATCTATTAATCATGAAAGAAGGGGATGGATTGCTGCACTTAAAATTAAAGCTAGGAGTATCATTGAGGCTGTTGAGAATAAAGATGACCAACAAGATGGATTGACACCATATTTCCAAGACGATGAGCCTCCTATTCCTCAACAAATAAATATTGATGACATTGCTTATGAACCTATGTAATATTCTGATGGGAGGTTTATTGAAATATATGAAGAAGCTAATGTTGGGGAGGGGATTGGGGAAGAGGATTAGACCTGGCAAACGGGCGGGTTGGGTCGGGTTAGGGTCGGGTCAACTCGGGTGACGGGTTAAAC